TTTAAGCTGAATTTCTTTTTAACTAATTAATTATATATAATACTATAAGTTTATATTAAAGCTTACGTTATATAATAACCTAATTATAAAGCTAAAGTCTTCTTAAATTACAAGAAAAACAAGCAAATATAAAACGTATTTAAGCTAAAGTAAGGGTAATATAAAGAGAGATTAAGCGAAAAGATAAAGAATAAAAATCTTAATTAAAGTTAAAAACTTTAAAGATATAAGCTTAAATTATAAGAGAAAATAATTAAGCTCTTTTATAAAGATAAATTATATACTATAAACTATAAATAATAATATTAAATATATTATTCTTATAAAAGTATTAAGTAAAAAAGATATAAAATAACCTTAAAAAAGTATTTAATATAATATAAAAAGATTCTTTTTAGGTAAAGTAATAACTTTAATTATATTAAAAGGTATTTTAATATTTTAATATACTTTTATATGTAATAAAGAGAAAGTATATTAATATTTTACTTTAACTCTTTAAAATTATTATTATATAATAATTATATTTAAGTTTTAATATAAGCGCTACCTTATAATTTATTTTAGGCTATATTATACTATATTATTAATACTACTTAAAGATTAGAATTCTTTATTAGCTATAATTATTACTATTAAAATATTATATAAAGCTTTATATAAATAGGCTAGTAGATATATTCCAGCTTATTATACTATTATATCTTATTAAACTTATAATTAAAATTTATTAAGAAGAGATACTCTTAAGCGTTAATTATAAATTCTATTATTATATTAAAATACTAGATTATAAGGTAAATTTATAAACTAGAAAGCTACGAAAAGTATATTATTTACTTATTTATACTATTACATATAAACTAACTTTCTTTTAGAATAAAAACGATAATAAAATTATTTAAAGTTAAATAACTTAAATAATAATTTAAGTGTAAATAATAATTAAAGTACTAGTTAAGAAAGATCCACTAGTATCGCGATTTTTAAAGCTATAAATTAGAATTATCTAAAAGATAACCTTAACTTTAATAATAATAATAAAAGTATATTAAATTATAGCGTTTTATTTAATAATAATATTAAACTTAAAGTTAAATTATTAACTTAAAGTAAATTTATAGTAATTTCTTTAATAAAAGTATTTATTAATAGTAAATTAATAAATATGTATTATTATATATTTTTTATTATTTTTAAACTCTTTAATGAAAAATTTA